AAAAAATTTAAATTTTCGCCCCTGTTTGGAATATATCTTAAGTGTAGATAAATTATATTTCATCAAAAGGAAAACCTCTCTCATCAATTTACAATGTATTTTGTTTAATAAATATGATTAAAATAGGGTATTTCAAATGTATTTTGGGAATAGAACAACTAACACTGTTACAAACAGAGTTCAAATAGACTATTTGAAATATGTTTTAAGACCTTAACTACTGACCGCATTTCAAATACTTTTAAATAGGGTACTTAAACACTGTTTTGAGGTCTATTTGAATTGTATTTTGGGCACACAACCCTCTGACTATAAAAACAGATTGTACATAAACTATTTAAAGTCTGCTGAAAGACATCAAATGCTGAACTTATTCTAAATACTTTAAAATAGGGTACTTATTACTTATTATTATTGAGGTGCAATATTGTAATGTATTTTGGGATACTTAAACTCAGACCATAAAAGTAACAATTGCACAAAGTTAATTTTTAAGCCTTCATCGTGTCACGATGTCATAAATGACTCAAAACAAGCTGTCATATATTGTGGACCGAATTCTTCTCTCAATAAAGTTCGAGGCGGAGCGAAAAATTAAATCTCCCAGCAAATCAAAAAGAAATTGAAAAAAGAGAAGAAAATTAGGAATAGATTTTAGCTGTGACTGACAACACGTAACTGTGACAGTGTGCCGATAAAGGATCAATCCGTTCCTCGATGTTCTGATTACCTGCAAGCTCTCTGCGAAAATCTCGCGTAGATATTTTAGCCGTGATTCAATTAATGCAGCTACGGGACATTCCATAAGTTTTTTAAAAGAAACTTGTTAAAATCACATTTTAATTTTCATATAGAAATTTTTCACAAACAGCCGAAGCCGCGGGCCGAGAACCGGATGCACGCGGTCAACAGAGATTTGTCAGATTTGTCTAAAATAAGCCCTTGAAATTGCATAATAAACAAACTATCCAAGCTAAGATCTCACCTCGTATTTATTGCACCAAGAAACAACGCTCAGATCTGAATAAACTCCGACATATGGTTATCTTTCTCTCATAGACTATTCCGCACATGCATGGCATATTATTTTTGAGATGTCACGCGCTACTGAAATCACGACTTCGTGCCGCGGTGATCTGACAAATGCACGTGATAAGCAAACTGTCCTTTGTCCTTTGCTCATTTCAATTGAACCGGCGGTTGCTGTGAGCTTAAATGCGCTTGAGTTTACTGTTTGTTACAATCTTACAAAAGTACACTTCAACTCTGCGGATTGTCAGAACACGTAGATGCTGCTTTTATCACGAATCAAAAATGGTTAGGACTCACTCAGCGACTCCTATGTACTTTGAAAGGTTCTGGTTCAGGAGAAGAGTCGTGTGAGTATTAATATACAATGTCCCTTTATATGCATAACATGTTACTAAGACGCCTAAAGGGGCTATGTCACCCCACACGCATGCGCGAGCCAAAGAAAACAAACTTGAAAAAGTTGGCCCGTCTTCTTCAAGTTCTGTCGGAGATTTTGGAAGGCTGTTTTTATCTGTCTAAATCTCAGCCATCGTTCGATAGTTAGCGAAGTTTTGTATTAAGAATCGTTCTATGGTGATTACAGAATAATTTTTTGGCGTTATTTTGAAATTGTTTGCCTGTGGAATGTTTTTACGTGGATTTACTGTGTCCTCTTATCAGCGGTCGTTGTAATGGCAGAGTTAATGACGGCTACTCCACAATGAGTGATGGAATCTTTGATGGAATCTTCCCTATAGTTCACAGAACCTTTCTATTGAGTTATTTTAGAGGTTGCTGGCTCTTGGATTTTTCTTGTGCTCAAAATATGTGGACATATAATGAAGCGGCTATCAAGTTGGCGGCGGCCGTTTTTGGTAAACGATTACAGGAGCATCAGGCCATGAGTTTCGTGACCAAACGAAACTCCTGGCGAAGGAAACATTATAAAATTCGGCTAGATTCCTTCTTGTATTTATATGGATTCACGGCAAAGATAAACACGACCGTTTGCTTGTCCAGATTCTTCTCAACGGACTTAGAGAGGCACCTTAGTACGAGTTAGATCCTGTAAATGCCATGTTTTTGAACTGTTTGTGTTCGAGCATATTTTTGGAAAATAGCAGAGTTTACTTTCCCTTTTTATCAACGGACTGCTTATAGTGGAGTAGTATACCAATGATGCTTGGTTCTGTTTTTCTCGACGTCGCAGTGATTCGGCACGATCGAACAATTTTGCGCGATAATGTATGTTTCCCTAAGATCAAAACAAAGACTTGATGTCTCTTGTTCTATCGGCATCTAAATTATAAAATCACTAGCGACAGATAAGTCTAATTGTTAATGATCTGAAACAGTCTTGGTCTTTATCTTCGGTGTAGCGTCTTTTGTAGCTCGTTTGTAAAATACAACTTCGATTTATTTTGTTGAATAAGACAATATGTTGTTGTTGAATTTTTGTTTGCGCACTATTTTATGAATGGCATGCGTTTTTACGCCAAAACTACAAGTAAAATTGTCGTCACAATTTTATTCTTGATCTAGCATAACCAGAGAAGAAACGTTCCGTAAATTCTATCGAAATATCCCTTATCTAAACCCATTTCGCTTGTTAACCTCTCTAAATTCGGAGCCTTGGACGTGACAGAGAACAAGGAGAAAGTCACGCGTTAAAAACAATAGAATTTTGACAGTTGAAAGTAATTTGCATAACCTCAGAGCGCATGCTCTCCAGCTGACATAGCCCCTTTAAATATACGCCATATGCGAAACAAATGAAGGGTAGTAAACATTTAATGTTTTGTATAAATGATCTCAGTCACTTGATGTCACGTCACCGGCCTCTTTCATTCTCGCGTAAATTTGATGGTGTTATTCGTATGTTGTTCTTTATCAGCCACTAATTAATGTTCAGGCGTAGCCTGCAAGCTTCTGATGATATTTGAGTAAAGCCTTGAATATAATAAACGATGTAAGTTACATGTGTGTAGATTATTATTTACCGGTAACCTCAGTAACGTTATCCCCTTTTGAAGCCGAAGATTGATAGCCTGTGTACATAACGATACCCCCCTCCCCTCCTATTTTTATTGAGGGAGGGGGTCTGTAAACAGGCTAAAGATTGATTTGAGCATTTCTGAAAAATTCCATAAGAATTTCCCGAGAATTCTTAAGGAAATCAACGTAAAGTAATCGGCTAAGAGACAATTCTCGTGAAATCCTAGCCTAGGACTGTGTGGAGAAATTGCGCCGAGGTAAATATTGCTTTTTCAGGGTAATTTTTGACGGTTTTGTCATCATTTTATTTCATGAATTTAAATGATATTTTCATCTTGTTTTTGTACTATTTTTATGCTCTTTCGACCGATTTTTGTACTGTTTTCAGACAACTCTTAGGCTATTTTCGTACAATTTAATACTGTTTTTGCATTTTTGCATCCTATTTTTGATGTATTTTCATGATATGTGCGTGCTATTGCTTTTCTTCTTCTGTGGTATTTTAATACTGTTTTCAAAGTATTTTTATTGTATTTGCAAATACGAGTATTTTACTAAATTTCGAAACCGATTAAACAGCTATTAAAATATATTTTGAAGCATAACATTTTAATAGTGTTTTAAACAGGTTAAAACACCTTTAAAATCAGTCTAAAATATATCAAAAATAAATTTTTGTACCCATTTTAAACCTGTTTTCTTTTTCAAAATACGTTTAATATTGCCATTAAAAATAGTTTTAAATTATATAGTAAATTAAAATATGTTTTTGAAACTGCTTTTGTCCTGTCTTTATTCCAATTTATAAGCTATTTAAAAACTGTTTTAGACCTGTTTTGAGCCTTGCAAAAGCCCTGGAATTTTTTATATTACAAGAATTTTAAAATACTTTAAATAGGGTTTTAATAGGGTTGTAAACAGCTTAAAACACCTTTAAAAGCAGTCGAAAAATACATGAAAAATACACTTTTCGCCCTATTTAAAACCTATTTCACAAAACAGGTTAAAAACAGTTTTCAAAAATAGCTTAAAAATACATTCAAAACAGTGTTGGATTTGGTAAGGGCGGTGATTGGGTTCTTATACAATGGCGTACGGTTTGGTAGCTTGGGGAAGGTCAGATTGACTCCCCCATACCTTATTATAGTGTCATGAATAACAATACCCAGGGATGAATATTATACTATTGAAATTTCAAGTTTTCTTTTAGTTTTTTGTTTAATGTTGCTTAATGTTGCTTTGGTAAATGTCAAAGAAAGGTTATCGAACTGTTGTTGGAATGTAATTTCAATACTACCCTTGTTACTTATTATTGTTTTAGTGCCCCTTGGTCTCGTTTATGATTCTATGGTATAAATGAATAGATTGTTTTCACTGTCACGCACCAAAAAAATATATTGGAAACCGCCCAGTGGAAGAAGCCAAGAAAATGAAATGTCATAAAAGTCTCAGGTCTTTGTGGCTCACAGTTTCTGAGTTATTTGCCGAAACGTTTCACGCACCTTTGCAGAGCTTTGTATGGAGACACCACGTTGGTGTACCGTTTTGGTGCACCAATATGGCCGCCGGAAATCAACAAAAATATCTGGAGTTCACTTTTTCTATAAAAGCTCTTTCTTTTCACTCGAGAACTAGCATACGTGCGCATAAACATATCTCCTAATACTTGAAATGGTTACACTGCTGAAAATCAAGAGGAGACACCTTTTTTCAACGAGACAGCATTCCTATTGTGGTGTCACGCACTGTGAAAACTCGGAAGTTCAAATTGCTGTATTTTCGAATGAAACATGCTACGGGAACGGAAACTTGTACAAATATTTGCTCTTTGTTTTTCTTTAACCTAGTGTAAATAAGAATTCGTAAGCCTTAATATTTAGACTTTACAATTTGTTGACGTCACTGTGAAAACCATTTATTTTTCCCTTTGAGCTGATTTGCTAACACAAGGCATTATTTTCCCAAAGGTTCTGAAGACCAGAAGTCCATCAAGTATGTCCCTTTCCAAAGAATACTCCAAAGAACAGCTTAATTACTTCAGAATTTGTTATGCAACAACTGATATTCTCACCGAAGGCCTGAGAGAAATCTTTAAACAAGAATGGGACAAACAGCACAAATTAACAAAAGGAGAATGGAAAGACGAGCCTCGAAATGGAATGGACTTTTTTAACGGAGAGTCTGCTCGAAACCAAAGAAGAAATGCTCATCTTTTAGCCACAATGCAAAACGGAAACAGAGAAGAATGGGATTGTACAATGCTTTTCTACGCCATTCTTTTCTCCGATTGTGTTGGGCCCAGTCTTAGCGCAACTGTGAGGATGAATGTGGATGATCTTCGAAATTTCAGGAACGAAGAATTTGCTCATATGAAACAAGGTAGTCTCTCCGACACAGAATTTCAGAAGGCTATTAGCAAAGTTGAGGTGGCATTTCAAGGGCTTTGTCTTCACACTGTAAAAATTCAGGATTTAAAAAATCAGAAAACGTTTCCGACAGAAGAATTGCAACAGATCTTTAAAAAGGTTGATGACCTTAAACAAGAAGTTCGAGAAAAAGAGGATCAACGCCAGGTCCTTGAAGATCAGCTTCAGAAAGAAACGCCCTCATTTTGTGTTCTCCCTCCTAAACCTTCACATGATATCGGTGGTCGTGAACGCGAAGTGTCAGAAATAGCCGAGCATCTGAGGGAGCTAAAAGAGTCCAGTGACAACAAGCTGAGTTGTCTGTACATCTCAGGGAATCCTGGAAGTGGCAAATCACAGTTAGCTGGCCTCGTGGCTAAGAGGTACTTTGACGAGATTAAGGAAATACCAGGCAGTTCTTCATTTGTGATGACCTTAAATGCAGCTAGTCCAGATTCACTCTTGGAGTCATATGTCTCATTTGCTCGCCATTTAAAGTGTCCGGACTATTCGGTTATGGAAATCCTCAGCTCCAAAGACTGGAAAGTAGAGGAAAAGATCACTTATCTTAAGATGCTTATTGCTGTCAAAATTAGCTGTTATACGTCTTGGCTTCTGGTTGTTGACAATGTCAGCACCATGTCCTCTGTGCATGTCCATTTACCAGAGGCTGGAATCCACACTTGGGCAAGGGGTCAGATGCTGATTACAACTCAAGACATTAAGTCAATTCCCCCAAAAGGCTCTTGTGTTAATCACATCTCAGCAAGCAAAGGTATGGAGCCCGACGATGCCTGTCCCTTATTGGCCAAGTTATCTGGAATAAAAGATAGTGAGTTATTGAGAAAAGTGGCACAAAAACTAGACTATCAACCTCTTGCTTTAGCAGGCGCTGCCGTCTTTGTCAAAGGGATACGACAAGACAAAGCATCGAAGCATTTTGGCTGGAACGAATACCTGAAGATGTTAGAAAAAGGCAAACGAAAAGCTACGGAGGATACACTCGCATGTACAAACCCAGTTTACCCACACTCAATGACACAAGCAATTACGCTAGCCGTCGAACGACTGATGAGTTCCGACGAGATTGTGAAACACCTTTTCACCCTGCTTTCCCTCTGCGCACCAAAAGAATTAAACGTGGACGTAGCAATTAATTATATCATTAACGTACTCAAAGACTATCATGAAGAGGACAAGGAACTAATACGCATGAAGTTAAGGAATTGCTCACTTTTCCTTTTCGAAGATGACCAAGGTGGCTACTTCATTCGTGTGCACCAGGTTGTGCATGATGCTATCAAAATTATGATGAGTAATTGTCCAGAGAGTCAAACCCCTCAAGTCGTAAATGCCGTTATTACATCATTTGACGAATTTATAAACGATATTCCACAATTAAATAGGAGACTGGACACCATGCGTCTCGTTCCACATTTAAAGGCCATGACTGTGGTAACCGACGAACTCTTTGCAAAAGCAAATTTTCTGCAAGTTCACGATAAAGACATTTCACAAAAATATGAAAACCTTGCGCATATTTGTAAAATGCATTGTGAATATAACGTGGCGAAAACATACTTTGCCCATTCACTCACCATAAAACTTGAAAAGCTCGGTCCTGAACATGTTGATGTTGCAAGAAGCTACAATAACCTGGCTTCAAGTTACAAGGACCTAGGTGACCTCGAGAAAGCAAAGGAGTATCAGCAACGCGCTCTAGCGATTACACTCGACAAGCTCGACCCTGAACATGTTCATGTTGCAACAAGCTACAATAACTTGGCTTTAATTTACCAGGGCCTAGGTGACCTGCAGCAAGCCAAAGAGTATCAGCAGCGTGCTCTAGCGATTAGGCTGAACAAGCTCGGCCCTGAACATGTTGATGTTGCAACAAGCTACCATAACTTGGCTTTAATTCACATGGGCCTAGGTGACCTGAGGCAAGCCAAGGAGTATCAGCAACGTGCTCTGGCGATTACACTGCACGAGCTCGGCCCTGAACATGTTGATGTTGCAAGAAGCTACGGTAACTTGGCTCTAATTTACCAGAGCCTAGGTGACCTGGAGCAAGCCAAGGAGTATCAGCAACGTGCTCTAGCGATTACACTGGACACGCTCAGCCCAGAACATGTTGATGTTGCAACAAGGTACAATAACTTGGCTTCAATTTACGACGACCTAGGTGACCTCGAGCAAGCCAAGGAGTATCAGGAACGTGCTCTAGCGATTGCACTGGACAAGCTCGGCCATGACCATGTTTATGTTGCAACAAGTTACAATAACTTGGCTTCAATTTTCATCAGCCTAGGTGACCTCGAGAAAGCAAAGGAGTATCAGGAACGCGCTCTAGCGATTAGACTGGACAAGTTCGGCCCTGAACATGTTGATGTTGCAACAAGCTACAATAACTTGGCTTCAATTTACATCGGCCTAGGTGACCTCGAGAAAGCAAAGGAGTATCAGCAACGCGCTCTAGCGATTAGACTGGACAAGCTCGGCCCTGAACATGTTGATCTTTCAACAAGCTATAATAACTTGGCTTTAATTTACCAGGGCCAAGGTGACCTCGAGCAAGCCAAGAAGTATCAGCAACGTGCTCTAGCGATTACGCTGGAGAAGCTCGGCCCTGAACATGTTCATGTTGCAAGAAGCTACAATAACTTGGCCTCAATTTACAATGGCCTAGGTGATTTCGAGCAAGCCAAGTTGTATCAGCAACGTGCTCTAGTGATTAAACTGGAGAAGCTCGGTCCTGAACATGCTGATGTTGCAAGAAGCTACAATAACTTGGCTTCAATTTACATCGGCCTAGGTGACCTCGAGCAAGCCAAGGAGTACCAGCAACTTGCTTTAGCGATTAGACTGGACAAGCCCGGCCCTGAACATGTTGATGTTGCAACAAGCTACAATAACTTGGCTTCAATTTACAATGCCCTAGGTGACCTTGAACAAGCCAAGGAGTATCAGCAACGTGCTCTAGCAATTAGACTGGACAAGTTTGGCCCTGAACATGTTGATGTTGCAACAAGCTACAATAACTTGGCTTCAATTTACATCGGCCTAGGTGACCTCGAGAAAGCAAAGGAGTATCAGCAACGCGCTCTAGCGATTAGACTGGACAAGCTCGGCCCTGAACATGTTGATCTTTCAACAAGCTATAATAACTTGGCTTTAATTTACCAGGGTCAAGGTGACCTCGAGCAAGCCAAGAAGTATCAGCAACGTGCTCTAGCGATTACGCTGGAGAAGCTCGGTCCTGAACATGTTGATGTTGCAAGAAGCTACTATAACTTGGCTTCAATTTACAATGGCTTAGGTGACCTCGAGCAAGCCAAGGAGTTTCAGCAACGTGCTCTAGCGATTAGACTGGACAAGCTTGGCCCTGAACATGTTGATGTTGCAAGAAGCTACAATAACTTGGCTTCAATTTACAACGGCCTAGGTGACCTCGAGCAAGCCAAGGAGTATCAGCAACGTGCTCTAGCGATTAGACTGGACAAGCTCGGCCCTGAGCATGTTGATGTTGCAGAAACCTACAATAACTTGGCTTCAATTTACTGGGGCCTAGGTGACCTCGAGCAAGCCAAGGAGTATCAGCAACGCGCTCTATCGATTGCACTGGACAAGCTTGGCCCTGAACATGTTGATGTTGCAACAAGCTACAATAACTTGGCTTTTATTTACGGTAGCCTAGGTAGCCTAGAACAAGCCAAGGAGTATCAGCAACGTGCTCTAGCGATTAGGCTGGACAAGCTTGGCCCTGAACATGCGCACGTTGCAAGAAGCTTGAATAACTTGGCTTTAATTTACCAGGACCTCGGTGACCTCGAGCAAGCCAAAGAGTATCAGCAACGTGCCCTAGCGATTAGACTGGGTAAGCTAAGCCCTGAACATGTTGCTGTTGCAACAAGCGACAATAACTTAAGCAACGACTACAGAGACGGCAACGAGAACGGCAAAAGAGCATAAGTTTATTTTAATTAGCAAAGCAATAGCTTTGCAGGTGCATCACGCTCTGTTTGCACATTTCTTAGCCGTCGCTGGATAACTACGACGTTAAATTCCCTTATTTCACATGTTTTGTTGAGGACGGGAACACAAGAGAACAACTTTCTTTTCTTTTCCTGAACTTTGATACGTATCAGCAACGCTGATTGGCTGTTGGAACAATGCCACACGATCTGATTGGCTGTTGGATTCAACGAAAGTTGAAAGCGCTTATTCCTCGCGTGGTTGTTTTCGCGAATGATCGGCCGTCGGCGGAGAGAAGGATCGATTTTACTGTCTTTTTTTTTCTTTAATGGTCTTATAGTAGGTAAATATACCTTAATATGTGCCATGGAAATTCAGAAAATTCAGATGGTTGTTCATATCTTCTCAGGATTTGCTTCATTCACGGAACTAATGTGAGTGTATCGCAGGGTTGAATCTCTCTGCAAGTCGTTGACCGCGAACAATGTGTAGAATGTCCCTTTTGATTTACCAACAAACGAGTGCAAATCAAAAGACTGTTTATCTTAAAACTGGTTCATTTGAAAGTTTAGCCGGGAATGACTTCTCTGAACGGGGTACGTAAGCGGAGGCTCACTGCGAAAGAAACCTCAATCGCCAACTGTGAAGTATTAGACGAAAAATATCGCATCGCTGTTCTAGGAATTTTTTGTAGGCATTATTATAAGCTAGTGGCGCTATTCTTAAGGTAACAGATTTGTTGTTTGCCTTTGCTTTTTGTAGAAAATTCACCAGGAAAACTGGTGTCCACGCTCTTTGGCTGTTTGCTGTTTGTTAATTTTTTTTTGATGAATTTAGCGAGCTTTTCAGACCTGCGGTAAAACAAAACACAACTAAAGAGAACTACAAAGTGTGTTTGTAATATTGTTTTAGTTTTGTTTATAGGTCAGTTCAGCATGCAGTTTTAGTAGTGTCTTTTCGTCTCTCCAAATTGGCAAGATAATATTTTCCTGGATTTATAAAAAATATATTTATTTTAGACGTTTCTTTCTCTAGTAAATTCGTAAATTGCAAGTGTACTCACGGGACTAAATCAGCTAAATTAAACGCACTTGAGAATTCGTTTGGTTTGTTCTGAGATAATTTATATATCCTTTGAAAAAGTTCGCGATTTATTTCTCCGAGATTTTTAAAGATTTATGTACTGAAAATCGGGCAAGATTGCCGAGGAAAATATAAGGCAACAGAAAAATAGAAATTTCAGTATTTTAAGAGGGTGCGAATGGGGTTAACAGGTAACTGATATTTGGCCAAAAAAACAGTAGTTAACTGATAATTAGCCAAAAAAATAGTAGTTAACTGATAAATGAAAAGTTAACAGTTAAGTGATATTATATTTTTGTTAATGAAAGCAACAAAGTTTTCTAAACAGAAATGCTATTTTCTGGCATTTTTCTGTCCCGCTGATGACCCGGTGGCACATTAACTGATATTACTATGTGCAAAAGGCACCAGGGCAGTACTCGACAAACAGAAAGCGTCAGTCAAAGAGCTGGTTGTAGACAACTCAATGAATAATTGGTCTTCTAATATTAGCAAGATTTCTGTGTTCGGAAAAGGAAAATACTGTTTTCCCGGACCCAAAAGATCGTCAAGTTAAACATTACTACCCAAATAAAAAAATTGTGACTCTTAGCATTGGATCTGGCCAAAAAGAGTTTCTGAGGGTTCAAAGAAATCGGCAATCTTTCTTTTAAGTACATGGAATTTGCTCTTTCGAGAAATCATTTTTGGAACCATGATGTTGAAGTTTTAACTCAGTATAAATGAGACTTTTTTAATAGAAAGGCCGGTTTAAACACGAGCTTAAAAGCTAGTGTTTAAACCTGTCTTTCCGAAACAGTTTCGGCAGTTTCATTTGTTAAAAGCCTTGGATATCTTTATGAGGCTTTTGAAATACGCGAGAAAGGAACGTCTTCGAAAAAGGTAACATCGAGGGACGAGAAAACGGATGTCGACAAAATCTGTGTCGAGGTACAAAAAACTTCTGACAACGCAGGTGGAAAACCTACACGTGGTTTCTCACTTCAACACAAAACATTTAGTGCTTTGCACTACGCCCAAGAGCTTTAGAACCACAGTAAAGGAATCTCTTAAAAGAACTACGAGTTCGAAGTGGGCTACACTCACGAAAGGTCGAATTGTCAGGCGTGTCAAATACTTTCATGCCTTTGTCAGCACTCTCAATTATGTCTCTCCCATCGGTGCAAACGGTGATTGAATTCACCTATTGAATTCCAAAAATAATGGTTCAGTTTTGTTATTTAAGACTATATTTTGGCATTGATAATGTCTGTCGTCGTCTTTTGCAATGGATTGCAAGGATTAAAAATGGATTGAAACTCAGGAAGCAAAATACAGTACATAGAGCAACCAGATAAGTACAAGACTGATTCGATCAGACAATGAAAGTGCCGAAGAAGGTGACTTTGAAGTAGTTTATGGCAGGACATGCATGACCATGTCGGAAATATCAGTACGAGATCATGACTGGTGCGTGTGGATTTATGAGGGTGGTGTCATACGACTTATATTTTCAGTTACTAATAAATTGTACAGTCAAACCTCTTTAATTCGGACACCACAGGGACAGAACCAATTGCCCGGTTTACAGAGGTGTCCGTATTATAGAGGTAGGGAATGTATGATTGTTGACATTTCTGGGACCAAACGAACCGTCCGTAATACAGAGGTGTCCGTAAGGAGAGGTTAGACTGTTCTAGTGGCAGCGTTCATGCAAATTTATACCTTGATTTTAGTAGGGTCTACCCCCAAAAGTGATTGACTTGCTGAAAGAAGAAAAATTCGGGTTTTGACGGAATAATATTCCCTGTACGAAAGTGAAAGTTAATAGCTAACCAAAATTAGTAGTTAACTGGGAATTGGCCAAAATAATAGTAGTTAACTGATATTTGGCTGAGAAAATAGTAGTTAACTGAGATTTGGGTACCCCCATTAGCACCCTCTTTTTTAAAAATTCGAGCGTGCCTGGCCAAAATATTAGAACTAGAACATCTTGTCGCCTTCTTTTCGAAAACTTTTTACCTTCTTCGCCAAAAGAAATAACCTTCGAGATCTCCTTTAATCTCGTAAGAAGTTAAATGTGATTGTCAGACTGTTTTATTTTTAGTTTAAAAAATTATAAGGTAAGAGCTATTGTTTAAGTCAGCGGGTCTGCATTTTTGCATACTAAAAACAAGCAACGGAAGTAATTTTGGTTGGCTGATTCAGCAAATGTCAATCAATCAAAAAAGTGGGCGGCAGACATTTCGTAGAAGGTTTGTATCAGGCTCTCTTTTCGTCTCGCCTTGCCCGCCGGAATGTTATTTACAAAGCGAGACGAAAATTGAGCCTGATCTCAGGTTAGGACCTAGGTGACCTCGAGCAAGCCAAGGAGTATCAGCAACTTGCCTTAGCGATTAGACTGGACAAGCTTGGCCCTGAACATGTGCACGTTGCATGAAGCTTCAATAATTAAATTGGCTTTAATTTACCAGGACCTTGGTTACCTTGAGCAAGCCAAGGAGTATCAGCAACTTTCTCTAGCGATTAGACTGGGCAAGCTCAGCCCTGAACATGTTGCTGTTGCAACAAGCGCCAATAACCTAACGACGACGGAGACGGCAATGAGAACGGCAAAAGAGCATAAGTTTATATTAATTAGCATAGCAATAGCTTTGCAGGTGCATCACGATTGTTTGCACATTTCTTAGCCGTCGTTGCATGACTACGACGTCAAAGTCCCTTATTTCACATGTTTTGTTGAGGATGGGAACACAAGAGAACAACTTTCTTTTCCTGAACTTTGACATGGTGTTTTAGAATTCAACTCCAAAAAAATTTGCCACCATTTGACGAATTAAACGAGATGGAATAAGTATGTGTAATCAAATGAAATTAGGGAATAATTTCACGCGCGTTTTGTCCAAATCCTAATAATTTCCCGAGCCGGTAGGCTTATTGAATGAACGCAATTTGTATTGCAAAATTGTGAAATACAGGAAAAACCCTCGTATAAGAACCTGGGTTTTAAGAACCTGTAACGCTAAAATTTTCATTTCAAGCCCCGTCCACATAAGAACCTATTAAGGTTAACATTTCAATATTATGTTCTTATCAGTGGAGTTGCTGTAAACGGCGCGTGTATATTAGGTAGAAACTGCTGAATTGAGATCATCATCATCTGATTATATTTAAACTTGACATAACATTTTTTCCTGTCAAGCTAAAGTACGGTGTTTTATGTCTATTGTGTTTACCATTCAAATAATTTTCCTCAAGTATTTGCAAGTATAGTACTCTACTAATATCTATCAAAGAAAGCTTTCTGACCATCTCTGTGAGAATGACAAAATATTAAATAAATATAAAACATAAAAATTTTTCCCATTGAAATAAATAAAGGCAAAATATCAATGAAGGAAATGAAATTCATATGAAGGAAATTCATATGAAAATATAAGAATCTGTGTTAAGAACCTTGGTAGCCTAAATTTGCTTTAAGTGCCATATATATAAGAAGCTGATTAGGCTAAATTAAGAAATCCAGGTTCTTATACGCGGGTTTTTACTGTACTGCATTCTGTCCGAGGTCTGTATGGTAGAAACTGCGACTCATAGCACTGTTTCACCTCAGATGTGATGTATAAAAAATATAAAAGGTTGGTTTACGCGCCCCTAGATTTGTTGGCAAGATTTTGTAAAGGAAACTTGTCGAACGCAAAAAAATTCGGCCTGATTTGTTTTCCAATAATTTGCTTTCCAGACCTAATCTACTGTGATCAAGAGCCGTTATGGCTCTTAAATGTGATCGAAGATGATTGCTATTTTTCGGGTGCACATATAAGGCTATCACCTTGATGAAAGATTTGGTTCACTGACTCTTGGACTGATAATCACTTAGCCTTTCCCTCAAAAGTCACATGGATGTGCTCTAAAGTTAACTAATTTGTGGAATACAAGTTTATTATTTGGGCGTGGCCCAAATAGAGTAATGGAAACGGCTTGTTTTTACGTAAAAAAGCAATAGGCACGCAATACGTGCTAACGTAAACAAGCAAGTAAACAAGCGAAGCGAGGGGAATGTCTGCCATGTTAACGTCATTCAACACTACATATTCTCCTTTATCGTTTTCGTAAAGTATACCAAAATCCATAAAACGTGTCTTCGGAATCTCACGCGAAATGTAGTGTGTTTTAACTTTAAAGAAATCCTCAACACTCCCAGGCGGATTCACAAAAAAAAACTCTTCTAGTGTCTCGAATTTCAACTTGAATTTGCATCACCATATTGACACATGCAGACTTTAAAAATAGAATACGCTCCCACGAAAAACCTGAAAACTTAGATAGCACGTGATCAAAACATGTTCGTACGGCGTCAAAAACGTTGTCAATTTTACGACAGAGACTAACCGACAACGTTTCATTGGCCAAAACTGACAGGTTGAAAAGTGAAACTACGGGCAGAATAATTGCGTTGCGCTTCAAGAATGGCAGTAATCCAGTGATATCATTCGATCCGAAATTTTCAAAGCAGCAGTAAGAAGCAGTTTGGATAAAATTTAGCGACGGTGTTTAGAGGAACGTATTGTTGAAGTGTGTTATCGAGGGTTAAACTTACAAATGCACACACAGTCCGCGGTAGGCCCACACTAAAATAACATTGAGTGTTTTCATAATGGGTTGGTCCGCGAACTCAAAGAAAAACAAAGGAAATTGTCAAGACATTCAAAGACCATGGACCTCATAGACGGAATGACAAATCGGAATGTCAGGAGTGTACATGTAAAATCGATAAGAGTTTGAGCAGAAGAATGTGTATCAAGTTTGAGAGTCGCAAGATTTGTGTAGCTGGTAATCACTGTGACAAGGCCCAAGGAGTTGCCAGTGATAAAAATCTCTTCCGATGAAGGAAGAGAAGATTGTCAACAATTGAAACCAAAAGGCACTCAGGCTTCTTTGGGAACTTCAGTGATAGCGGTAACAATTCTTCTTATTCTTTCAATTTTGTTTAGCGGAGTGACTATTAATGTACTTGTTTTTGTATTGCGCGTTGTATATTGTGACGTGGTACATGTACGATGCTCGGCGTCGGGATTTTGCATTATCAGCAAGTTTATTTTGTGTTAAGAGTGTTTTGATGTCAGTGAGGTGATGACAAGAAAAGGTAATGAGTCAATTGAACAGAAGAAAAATTGTTTTGTGGAGGAAATAAAAGAAGTTCAATTGAGATCTCGTCGTGGGAAATTTATTTATAACAGAACTTACAATCCAGTTTGTTTAAATAAGGTTAGTCATTTTTCGCGAGGCGGTCGTGCACCTAGCAGATTACCGATGAAGAAATTAAAATCTGTCTTAAAGAAAACACGGAAAGTGAGACTTTTTGTATGGAAGGGAATTCTGAAAATTACACCATTGTCGTCTAAAATTCATTGTTACGTTAAAAATAGAAATGGTTTATACTTAAACCGGTACAGACTGAAGTAACTGTAAGAGTGTAAGGTTTTTACTAACGGCAAGTCCAAAATTAGTTCGAAAACAAGGAAAGGTTTATCTGTTGTCTAAGCATAAAAGAAGAGGCTATTTAGGTGGGGTGAGGTATCAAAATAGGGTATTAAGTGAGTATTTTTCCCTCTGTACATGCCACTATCCACTTTATATATAGTGCTTACAAGAGTTTGATTCACCGGGTTAATTTTGGCCAATTTAAGCTTTCTACTGATATCGAGAAGAATCCAGGACCTTCATTTTATGTAGATGCTACAAAAACGATTCATGCTCCATACTGTCAAGGAAACGTTGTAGTATTTGGGGAAAATGCGGGACAACAATGTGTTGCAATGAGTTTGTGCGCTTTAATGTACAGTAAGATAAGAAGGATTACTTCAGTCGATGATATGATTCAAATAATGACTGTTGGTAGCCAATTATATTATAGTCTGTCATTGCCTATAAGACAATCTATGTTAATGTTAACAGAATTGCCAGAAATGGTTACAGTGTTTGAGCGAATTTTCCATCTTGAATACAGTGAAAGTGATGCCAGAATTGAGGGGTATCACTACTGTATGCCACTTAAAACACTCTTGGCTCTGAACTACAACTCATTCATTTTAACTGTGGGAATTATTGGTGTTGATTCTCATGCTAGAGATATGTATGGTAACAGTCATAGTCAAGGTACATGTGTATTGTTGGAGATACCATCCATGCATAAATTAGTACAATATTTTCAGAGTCTATACACATGAAGGAATGAGGATATATATGAGCTTAAAGGTGTACATATTGCCAACTTTGAAGTTGATCTTTGTTCAAGGAGTGTTCAATACTGTAGTATATCAAATGTTAATAGTTTATACCAATGTTCTTGTAAACGGTGCTGTGCTATAGCAGTTTAAATAATGTCTTTATACTCTGTTATTAATCCATGTGGATACTGGACCTCAGGAACTTTATCTGCCCTTGCTAGTAATGAGAATACACTGTACAATGTGACGGGTGTGAAAAAGCATATGCCAGTTGATCTTCCTGAAAGTGAGAGTATCAGTGGAGCTGAGATAAACCTTACTGTTTGCACTGTAAGCAATAGTGTTATATGTTGCAATTTGGCTGAGAGCAAATCTGTGTTGAAGATGTGCATTTCAAAACATTGTCATGAAGTGAAAGGATTGGAACATACTGTATAAGCTGTTTAGTCCAGCGAAGAAGTAGAGTAAAGGATTTATCTTTTCTTGTGGGATATGATGAAAGTTAGTTAGGTGAAATACGACTTGTTAAAAGTATCAAAGGCATACAGTCATAAGTTGAAGAAATTTGTAAAATTACAAAGTAAGTTAAATTGTCGAAGACTACAATATGTAATACACTTTATATTATGCTCATGCAAAATTGAAAGCAATGAAAGAAAAAATATTGCGAGGAAACACAGGTATAGTTCATTTGAGTATTGTGAGATGGAACCTCTTAAAAAGAAACATTTAGTTACAAGCAGAAAAGAAAACAAGCAGATCGGGGTACAGATTTTTACATTGAACAGTATAAAAATAAAGTAAGGAAAGGTCCCTGTTATATATGTTGTGTTTGTAATCGATTACTTTTATAAGAGATCAGTTCACATTTTTGGCAAAAGTAAATATTTGTGTCAAACTTTTTTCAATGTGCAGTCTTCATTTGATGGAAAACAGTATGTTTGTAAAACATGTCACTTAATACAGACATTTTCTACCAACACCTTAGTGCCACTATTAACAGAGTTTAACTCTTTTAGCAACATCCCATAAAAACAACCCCATGTAGAAACCCAGCAACTACCTCATCAACTACACCCATCATCTTCGCAGTGAACTCCACGCCTACTACTTCAAACATCTCAGCTAACCCCTCAAATATACAATGCCACTGCACTACCCACTATCCCTCATACACATAACAAACTTCACGTACGCGTAGTACAACCACGCCCAAATATACGCTCCCACAGCGTCTTGTTGTTTGATTTAAATTATAAATTTATTTATGGGAGCTTCGCTTTTAGCCCTGGTTAGACTGCAAAACAGTCCGTATTTTTGCGTATTCAAGTACGCGGGAGCAGTCAAACAAAAGGTCTGGAACGAAGCTGAAAACAGAGAGCGAGACTAGGGAGAGACGCTAAAAATACGGACTGTCCGTTTTGCATACGTGATATTCGTTCGAATTACCCCCTTCTCCCAGCCACGGGCAATTCCCATTGGCTAAATTTCGATGCAAGCTGTCACCAAGCTGTCAAGTAATGTTTTTAACAAGTCATTCGCGATATTCCCTACCGTGATGAATTTCAAAACCTTTCGCTGTAAAACGACGGATGTTGATCGCTGGATTTGCTCGCAAGAATTGGGATTTGTTTTAAAATCAGAGCACAGGGAAGCTTTGGAGTTGCTGCTCAGGGGAAAGGATGTTTTCTGTGTTCTATCAACAGGATTTGACAAAAGCCTTATTTATCAGATGTTTGTCCATGCAAAGAGTTCTTCAAGTTCCGTGCAACGGCCGACCATCATTGTTATCTCGCCTGGCTAAAAAAGGCGGATCGGTAGGAAACACATACACGGCTCAGTTTACCTCATGCAAAAATGCTTCTTGTTCCATTGAATTGTTTTCTCTGTCGAGTAGATTTTGCGTTGGAGGAAAACGTTTTGACTGAGCAAATGTGACCTTTGGCCGCTTATTAGATATATTTCATACTGAGAGGTCGTGACACGCATATTGATTTTCTCTGGTCGGCATGATTTGCTCTCTGATCAAGAGTATTTTCTTTCTTGGCCCTGTAAAGCTCTTCATTGCGGCTGATTAAGGGTTTTAGGTTGTTTTATTTCTCCAAAGTGCCTCCTGGATTTGAATAATTTTAAGCGATTTTCTTTGTGTCCGTCAATGTGACTTTTTCCTGCAATGTTTTGTCACGTTGGGGCCAGCTCGTTAGCGTTTTTAGCAGGATTTTAAATTCTCACAGATGGTGATTTACAGAGCTAAATCACCAAGACGTGGATTGGAATGAGGGGATTTACTCATTCTTTTCAGTCGCAATAATTGTTCATTGTCAGTTGGCGTGTTCAGTTCTTCTCTAATTTGCGAAAGCATCGCCGTGCGGTTTCACGGGGATCTCAGGGCAGTTTCTAACCTTTGTTTCGCACGGAGAGCAGACTCTTGTGGAGAAAGATTCTAGATCCTTCCTCGAGGACAACGAAAAGTTTGTTTTTCGGTAGGTCGGCCCACTTTGGTAACGTTTCTCCTTTTCTGGTAGGCGCAACAAACACATTTTCCGAGCTTATCCATCCACTCGCAAAATTGCCGAATGTGTTTTGAAACAACAGCCACACATTCTACAATTTATCCGAAGCGCTCGGCTCTTTCGGCTTTCTCCCTCTCCGAGGAGCAGGCACAGGCTTTGTTGTCGTACTGCCACTTCCACTATATATACTACATTTCACTATACACAATACATTTCACCGAGAAGCACCGCTAAAAATTGCTTTAGAATTACTAGTGGATTTATACAGCGTCAAGATTTGAAGCAAATCCGGCAGACAATAACACGCGCTATTCTCCCTCGAAACCAATCACCGAGTGTATCAAATTCACAAAGAGGGCGGGGCTGAGAACAGATTTTTGACAACTCGACGACATTTTTGAACCCCCTGGTCGGAACGAACTCGTTGTATGGAAAACGGACAGTCGGTTTTTTTTTCTCTCGCCTCACACGCCCTGCTCGCGCGCTTCGCGCGCCTAAGACTCTTACGCCACGCTTTACCGATTTCTTTACAGATTTTGAGAAAAAAACCGACTGTTTTGCAGTCTAAGCCCTGGTTAAATCTGTATATTAGCAAGATTGGGCACACAAAGTCTGTAGGTTTTCGGTTTTATTCGGGTATTTGACGAAGTGATAGCCGAATTAGTTCGAGATGTTCGAGATATCTCGAGATCACTTGGATTTCTTTGATTTATTTATAACTTTAACTCATTCGAGGAAGAAAGAATTATTATTTTGGCTTGCCGGGGCTTGAGCCGACTCACCTGTGCGACCCTTCATATCAGAGGAGACTCTAAGTTGAGGGATTAGCCGATTGCGCCAGTGCGACCCAAGGTAATTTGCCGTGAAAAATAGCTATTAAATTATGCACCAGTATCGGGACAAGATTGGGCCCGCAAGTTCGTGACGTTTCGGCTTGTTTCGGCTATTTCACGAAACGAGACAGGAATTACTTCGAGACATCTTGAGATCACTTCGAGTTTGTATAGGTAATAGCATGATTTGTAGTGATATTTGGCATAAATACCACGAGTGATATTTCAGAATTGTTGTACGTAATTTCACGAGCCGTGAGGCGAGTGAAATTTGAGACAATTTTGAAATATCACGAGTGGTATTTATGCCAAATATCACGTACAAATCATGTTAGTATATACACACTCAGTGATCTTGGTGATTTAAGCAATCTGATTGGTTCGCTATCTCGGACTATTCAACAATATTTACCTCCTAGCGAGTGGATAATGTGTGAGCTCGGTGTTTTTCCCATTTTTTTAGAGAACTATCTTTTAAAAGTCGACAAAATCCTAGCGCTGACTTTTTTAAGGCAAGAAAAGACTTGGAAGGATTCAATACGGCGTTTTTCAATTTACTGTAGCTGAGTTTTGTGCTCGATGGATTGTTTACAACTCCCGTGTATTCGCGTAGAAGAAGCCGTTTCGTGAACTCAGCGGTTTCTAATGAAGAAAATTTTGGCTCAAAAATCGAAGTTTATTTATGACAAACAAATTTAAAAGGAAATGTTTGCAGAAATTCTACGTTTCAAGTAAACAGGCAAAAGAATGATACAGGAAGACGACGTCTTACCTCGAGCAACCGAACCGGCCATTTTTGTCAGCACTTCATGCGAAGAACGACACAGCAAGCCCTTTTGGCTATAAACTTGGCGAGTCGACAGAAAACAACAAAGCTCCACTTTTCTTCTCAGGTAAGGAAACAGTTCAAACTTTTAGCGGTTCCATTTAAGCTATTACGCTGTTGTTTGCAAAATGATAAACTTGTGAATTGCCATGTTTGAAAATTCTGCAAAGATCTATTTTTAAACTTACGCGTGATTTGATCTGTCAATCAAATTGTACTTTTTAATGGTTTCCTCTCTGATTTTGTTGAGATCACTTCGTGTGTATATACTAAAACAATTATTCTTTTCAATCTTGGTGAATAGTGGCTTTGGGAATATTTACCTCGCCGCTTTCGCGGCCGGCAAATATTTAGCCACTATTCACCTCGATTTCAAAGAATATTTGTTAACTATTATTTGTTTATATTACTACCCACAAAAGGTTTGTAATTTTCACATGTAGGTATTTCAAATTAAGCTGAAATACCACTGCTCTAAGCCAATCAAATTGCAATAATTTCTCATGTAGTAGTATAAAGTCTTTTATACCTGGCCGCGTAATGACACGAAAATTCTCTTCGAGTGTTGAAAAATATTTCACGAGTAAGCGCTCCTTTCGAACAGTCTTGTGTTGAATTTAAAGGTACAAAATGCTGCACGAAGACGTTTTCTCTTTGTTGAGTGTTACGTAGTAAAATTGCTGTCATGTGTTGCGTGACCTCTTTGTTTTTGGATTATTTATGAATAATTATTTAGAGGATGTTTACATTTGAGCATAAGTCAGCGGATTTGCATCATTCAGTTACTGAAAAATAAAATATGTTAAAGGCCTTCTACTATTCGCCTGTTTAGTATTTTCTATAAACTTATGTGAAACGTTGTTCAAGTTCCAAGCGAGTTGTTTTGACGAACTAAGTTTTTTTTCCCAAGAGCTGGAGTGCCGTGTTTAGTCAAGTGTGACGAAGGTCGATTTTCAAGTTCCGTCTTTACAAGTTGGAGGAGTTGGAGAAGTTCAAGTCAGAGTTTGTTATAATTGGCAGAGGCAGTTTAGAAGTTCAAGTCAAGTTTGTGTTGGCGGATGCTGTGTTCTAAAGCCCTGCAAAGACTATGTTCCTTTGGTATTAAACTTCCTTGTGTTAATCCGACATCCCGGCCTGCGTGCTGTTAGTCTGTGAATAATTGTCCTCAAAACATTCGAACTCGTTCCATGCTCAACGTAATTGACTTCTTATCCATGCCTTACATATCTTTACAACAATAACAAAAACAAATTTTATTGAAAATTG